ACCTAAGCGATTACTTCCTCAAAAGAAAACTGCTCCTCCAACATCAAAGTCTTCATGCAAAGACTGCAGGTGAGAACAAACTGAACAAACGTTTTTCTCTACGACTCGCCTTGTTTACACCATAATCACGTCTCGCCATGTTAAGAATACTGCATTTACAAATGTCATAGTGCATCTGGATGTGTTTATCCATTACAGAGAAAAAATAAACAAAGTGTTAGAGCAGTACTCAGAAGACTGGAAGAAACAAGATGAGTATTTCCAAAAGTTCAGGTAAGATTGGGTCAAATTAATTAAACTAAAATAACTTTTTTTTTTTATGTTGGTATCAATCTTTAAACAATTTGTGAAATTTGACCTTAAAAGACCAATATCCTGTGAAATTGACTTTTGAGCTTTATATCGTGCTCCTAAGCAATTGCTCTCCAAAATCACTGCATATTTTCACCAAGCTCCTCCAGACTAGTGGCAGCAGCAGTTAGCAAACAACTGCGCGTCTGCTGAGCTTATTATACTAACTAGATCTCAGTCCTAAGAACTGCTCTAAATGGCATAATGAAGACGTTCAATTGTGATGAAGTGTCAGAAAGAGCAGGAGCTTCTTAAAGAGACAGACGCCAATTTTGAGATGTCAAATTGCAAAGTCAAATTCTTTTAAGTTATGTTTGATTTATGCAGCATTTTTATAAAACTGAAAGTAACATACTTAATTGTGCAATAAAATGGCATTATGTGCTTGGAAAATACATAGTACTGCCCTTTTAAAGATGCAATGAGGATTAGATTTGCTTTTTATAAAAAGAGGAACATAAATCATAAACCAGTGAAATTGAAACACTTTATGAAAGAGGAACTAGAGTCCATCATCTAATTATAGCCTAACAACTTCCATTAAGAGTAATGAAGCAAATCATATACATCAAGTGCTTCTGACAGCTTTATCCAATACTTTAAAGAAATTAAAACATTTCATTATGGAAGAATGTACCAAATTTGAAGCCTCAGTAAAAGTTTCTGTCCAGGTATATTTTATGTTGCACTGTGAGTCATCAGACTACTTGTGGCTCCCCAGGTCGCAGCTGAGCACAAAGTGCCATGGTTTAGAGAAGGCTACAATTACCCAGGCAAACACTCCAGTGGGAACAAAGCTTGTTTATGATGGAGAGAAGAAGAGAACCCTTCAGGTGAACCCGGAGATTTTCAGCACCTTTTTTAAAGTAGGTCATTTTCTATTTCCTTTTGATACCAGATAATTGTCCCACCTTTCGATCCGCATCTGAATGTTGTACTTGAGCTTTTTAAGATGCTTTGTCAGTCATTTCAGATAGTGAAACTCATATTACGTAGATTAATTGCATTTAGAGGGAAATATTTCAGTACATATGTAATCTGGGTCAGGGCACCAGATGTAATCCTTCTGTGTTCGTCTCAGGTCCAGTAGGTTGACTTCATGACAGACACATTAAAGATTGACATAGATTTCACTTCATTTATACTTTAGATTTAGATTCCTGTAAACCTCCTAAAATTCAACAGGATCAAATGGAAACCATATGTGTTTAAAGTTGTCTGTTTCTGCTCCAGGGGCATCCTTTCCCAAATAAAACATGGCATACGTGTGCTGTTGTTGGGAATGGTGGGATCCTGGTAAACAGTAGCTGTGGCAAAATGATTGATTCAGCCGAGTTTGTTATCAGGTGAGAACATTTTCCAGGTTTTTCCACATTTTGAAACTCCATCCAACAGTAGCTGTCCTCATGTTACTTTGTCAGGTGCAATCTACCTCCTTTGTCAGATGGCTACGAGAAACATGTTGGCATCAAGACAGACCTGGTGACAGCAAATCCAAGCATCCTCTTGGAAAAGTGAGTACCCTTCCCATTTTAACCCTTTCATGCATAGTGGTCACTAGAGTGGACAGCTATCTGAAAGCCATTTTCTTGTGCTTCTTGTGGATTTTTATGTTATAAATGCACACAGACCACTGAAGTGGACACTAATGCATCATAAAATAGACTATCAACTATTGGCCATCAGCTGCAAATGCAAGAAATTATTTTTGTTGAATACAATATGGCCGACAGACAAAAAAGCATGCCAACCGACCCGGTCCCTCCTTCTACTGTAGACGATTCTTGTAGGTAAAAAAAATATTGTGACATCAGATAACCCCTAAAGAACAATACTACTGACATATTTTTCAAATAACAACTTTGTATTTGGAGAAAATTACAATTGATCACCTAAAAAAAAAAGAATTTTTTTCCCTACCTTTTTTTTATGCCTTAAGAAAATAAAAAAAAAATTGGAAAAAACATCCTGACACAAAGGATCATAATTCATGTATGAAAGGGTTAAGGTCATTTTTGGATTTAAAAATTACTGTCTTCTGTTTCTAGCCTTCTGTTATACTAGCGTTGGCAAAGTAGTTTGAACATCAACTCAAGTCATTCCCTGAGTGAATGCGAAACAGTGTGTTAACATCATATCCTGGAAATGTCTGTAAATTTCAGCAAAATCTCAAGCATTGGTTACCACATACGAATGCGTACATAAATATCAGACTTTAGGTTGTAATTTATTTATTACATAGGGTCTGGAGATAATGCAAATAGGGCTTTAAATATTCTAACTTTAGTCTTTTTTTCACTGGTCACCTTGTTTCTAGGTTTGGGGCTCTAATGGGACGTCGACGTAAGTTTGTGGAAAGTATGACAAGCTATGGCAACTCCTTGCTGCTTCTTCCCGCCTTCTCCTATGGCCGCAACACTCCTGTTTCTCTGCGAGCTTTTTACACACTTGAGGACTTTGAAAGCCCCGTTCAACCTATCTTCTTCAACCCGGGGTACCTCCATAACCTGGCCCTCTTTTGGCGCTCTCAGGGCCTGAGAACGATACGGCTCAGCACCGGTATCATAATGACAAGCCTAGCTCTGGAACTCTGTGACAACGTACAGCTGTATGGATTCTGGCCCTTCGATTTTCACCCATACAGCTTTCAAACTCTGACTAACCACTATTATGATGACAGAAAAACCAAAACAAAGTTCCACGCCATGCCTGATGAGTTTAGCCACTTGTTGCGGTTGCACAGTCAGGGTATTCTCAAATTACACCTTGGAGACTGCAAAGCAGAGCCAAACTAGATTCCTCAGGCAAAGAGCCAAGTGCCTTCTCAGTTGCCTCAGGTGAACCCAACTGTCAAGACTTTCTTTTAATTACAAGACTGTATGGACTAGACTGACGAACTCCACAGACCAGGACCTATCTGCAACCACAAAACTTGTACTGAACTGAACAAGTTCAGTACAAGTACACAAAACAGTACTTGTACTGAGATCAAAATGCAACAAAAAGAAAACAATAACAAGTATGGATTTCATCTTCTTTTACAACTTTATTTATGTTTTGTTCAGGTTGGTGTCTGGAAGAGAGTATGTAACGTGTGCCTTTGTGAGGCCATCATTGTTTAGTGCCTTATGTTACATTGTTAGTGATGGGTTTTGAGTCAGGGTTACTGTGTTTTAATGGAAACTAAATACCTCCTTTAGAAGAATATTGTTACTAAAAACACCAGCAAACTGAATGTAATAGGTTTTTAAATACATTTAACCACTTTGAAAAGGTAATTTGTTTTAAATAAACAGCATGAATGTGTTGGTATTGAACACTTTTTTCACTATGGCAGACTTAAGATGAAGGATTATGCCTGTCCAGCCTTAAACATAAATATCATAATAGATAAAAAAAAATTAAAAATAAAAATACAAATTGCACAATTCTTTATAGAAATTATAACTCACCTTAGGTGCTTTGGATACACTTCGAGTCTCTTTTGTTCAGAGTTACAAGTCTAGAAAAAAATATTATACTGCCACTTTGAGGCAGGAAAATGTTGCTGCAAAGGATGAGTGAAAGAAGAATGAGTGGTTTTGAATTGTTCTTTATCTGTTTTTCGGCACCATTTCCCTATGTTGCAGTTCAGCTGCTGTAATTTCTGATTGTTCAATAAAATCAAAAACTGGATTAACTGCCTTGTTTGTTCATTGAATGTTGCACCATTCATACCAGTCATCAAACAGAACAAAATATTTCATAAAATATTTTTAAAAACTCTGGCTCCTACAGCAGTAATTATGTAAAATGTCATTAATTGTCCAATGCCAAAGATAAATGTGGGCAGACTTCTGGCAACAGACTCAAATGCACTTCTATCATTACCCTAAAATTAAACCAGACGTTACATGTTTTTGATCAAACAAGTAACAATTACAGAGCAAAGACACAGCTGACTGGAAGTTTACAAATCACTGTGGTTTATTAGTTATCAAATATAAAAAAAATCATTTCAAACATTTCCTGGCGTAGTTTTATTTTTCTACTATCATAGTTGTTCAACTTCATTATTTTAACCAAATAATACAGTATACATATACAGAATTCAGAATTCAATTAAATATGTTTTCCCTGTGATATTTGTAACACATTTCAACAGTGGTCTGTAACTAATAAGTTGCCATCAGTTCGAACTCGATTATTAAAATTACTTTTTAGTTTTAATTTTAATATATTTTGGTCCTGTTTTTTTTTTTTTTTTTTTTTTTTTACAACTGCACACCATTGGTTCTGTTACTGCCAGTTTTATAATGTCGAAAATTTGTGTTGGTTTTAGTTGTTCAGTTTGTTACTTTTCTTTTAAAATCGGTTAAGAACTACGCGATTTCACTGACAAGATCTGCTTACAAGAAAATTAAAACCGAAATATTTTTTATTTTGGGCTGTTGCAAAGGATCGTTTAATTTCTGTCATTTTTGTCTTGTTGCCGCTCTATCGATTGGTTGCGAATAGGTAGACTCTGATTGGTTGCAATACGGCGGAAAGACGTCAAATTTCCTGGTTGTGATTGGCTGTTTTTCATCGAATTGAACGTAGGATTTGCAATGCCTGTCTGTGATTGGCTGGTGGTGTGGTTCATTTACATACAGCTGACGTTGCGCAAGCGCAGACAGAACCGAAGTGAGCGACCAGAAAGATAGATTCGAGCGGGATATCAGACAGTTTGTCAGTCAGAACACCACTGAGCGAGTGTGTGTGAGATTTAAATCCACACAACTATAAATTGTTGATTTTACAGATTGATCCCGCCATAAGAGAGGGTACTAAGCAGGACAAGGAGGTATGAAACGACCGCTTTTACGGTGTTTGGCTTCCCTCCTTTTGGGTATCATCCTGACTACTTTTATCCACATTATACTTCACAATAAGTAAGTTTATCTTTATTTATTAAGTAGTGCGGACATACTTTGTTGATTTATTATTATTATTATTATTATTATTATTATTATTATTATTATTATTATTTTTAGCTTTTATTAGGTGTAACGGTAGGTTTTCCTACACAGTCTTGCTACTGGAATATGAGGAGGAGCAGTCAGATAACATTTTTTTTAAAGTAGGCTAATCTGTTATATTTTGTGTCCATTGCCACACAGGCGCCATTGCTGTGCATTTAGACAGGAATATCAGTTGCCAACAGTACAAAAGCTAGATAAGTATCACATTTAACAGGTTAGGAAAAGGTTTTATTAAAAAGAAAATCAATAAAGTGGGAAACAGGTCAGCGCTTGGGCTTTCGGAGCTGTTGTCTGTCGTTACTATAGCAACGGGCCTGCGTTTGTAGAAGGAATCCGATTTTCTCTCCGTCATTTCCCCTTTGTTGTGGTGCACCGCAGCCGTTGTAATTTCTAAAAGTTTAATAAACGACAAAAACTGGACCAATGTCAAGGTTTCAATGGGCTCTTTGCACCTAAGGCGTTGACGTCACATCTCCAGGAGCTAATGCGGCTCACTTTTT